TTAGATAACGTATTTCGAAAGGATTGTGAACCACCCTAGTGATTTGTTTTTCTTCAGACATGTTATGTAGTAAAGCCATTACCACACATTATACAGATGCGACACCTGTGATCTTCGTGTCCCCAACTGCTTACCGCATTTCCCGCTTATGTTCATTAGCGTCCGGAGTATTTTTTCCTAGGAGTTGTTACGCGTAATTAGCAAGACGTCACGGATGTCATATGTCAAACATCATAATCAAGAAATTTATTTTTGTTCATTTACCTACATGCATTTTGGGACATAATTATTATTATTTCTTGAAAAGCTCTTTATAGTGGGTGATTTTTTTGCTAGTATCTTTTTGGCAACACTGTTTTTGACAGGTGACGCGTGAATCGTGTCTTGTGTCATTGTCAAACTTGTTCAGTTTGGTCTATAATTTAACCATGAATCGACTTACGAACGAACAACGCTTGCAAATTATTGAATTTTACTATCAAAATTCATGCTCGGTTAAGAGAGTGCATCGAGCACTGCTTCCAATATATGGGCAATTTGGTCGGCCTACTGAGGGTGCTATTCGGAAGCTTGTGACTAAATTTCGAACCCAGTTTACATTATTGGACATTAAACCACCAACACGCAGACGTAGAGTGAGGACTGAAGAAAATATTGCGGCTGTATCCGCCAGTGTTAGTGATGACCAAGAAATGTCGATTCGCCGCCGTTCGCAGCAATTGGGCGAACAGGATTTGGGTGTAAAACCTTATAAGATACAGCTGATGCAAGAATTGAAGCCACACGACCTCCCACAACGTTTCCAATTTGGTGAATGGGCGCTGGCAAAGTAGGAGGAAGATCCACATTTTTATCGAAAAATTATGTTCAGCGACGAAGCTCATTTCTGGTTGAATGGGTACGTTAACAAGCAAAATTGCCGCATCTGGAGTGAAAAACAGCCAGAAGCATTGCAAGAGCTACCAATGCATCCCGAAAAATCACTGTTTGGTGTGGATTATGGGCCGGTGGCATCATCGGGCCGTACTTCTTCAAAGACGACAATGGCCGGAACGTAACTGTGAATGGCGAGCGCTACCGTGCGATGATAAAAAACTTTTTTTTGGCCAGAATGGAAGAGCTGGACTTGGCTGACATGTGGTTTCAACAAGACGGTGCCACATGCCACACCGCACACGAAACAATGGCCCTATTGAGAGGCGAGTTCGGTGAATAGTTTATCTCACGTTTGGGGCCCGTCAATTGGCCGCCTAGATCGTGTGATTTAACGCCGTTGGACTATTTCTTGTGGGGCCATGTTAAGGCTAATGTCTACAGGGATAAACCAGCAACGATTGACGCACTGGAAGCCAATATTGAAGCATTTATTCGTGAGATACCGGCCGATATGTTGGAGAGAGTTTTCCAAAATTGGACCTTGCGCATGGGCCATCTAAACCGGAGCCGCGGCCAACATTTACATGAAATAATCTTTAAACATTAAATTATATCGACCGTTCTATCGACTCAAATAAAGATTTAATCGTTTTTTCAAATTTTTTGTGTTTTTTTTTGAATATCAAATCCTATACCTCTTAAAAAATCAACTGTTGTATTTATATATAGTATTGACAAAACCCATTTTCGATAACTCCCAAATCCTAAATGTCACAGCAACACGGATCCCACCAAACGCATAGGACTCAAGTTGGCGTTGATAGAACCTGATTTTTGACAGAGTGTCGCCTCTGTATAATAATACTCTGTGCCTTTGCTCTCACGCAGGCCCAGATCTAGAAAATATTTTTGAGAAGGGTTCGGATGGTGTTTTTGAAGTTACGAGCTCGAAAAACGTTCTGAAAGATGCCCGTCTCGACGAGGAGGTATCGGAGATTGAAAATTTAAGCGCGAGGTGGTGGCGACACCTGCTGCATCATTGCTTCTTAGAGCGAATACCCTTGTGACAATTCAAGAACGGGGTGTATCGGCGATTTAACGTTATTGAAGAGCAGGGGGGATACCGACGATTGAAAATTATAGAGCGGTGGAGAGGTCGTCGTCTGCGAATTGAAAAACACAACTAGGATATTTCGGGCGAGAAGGGCTCCGGACCCCACCCTAGATCCGCCACTGCTCTCACAATTTGCTCTCCATAACTGGAAACACTCGTGAATTTGGCTAAAAGTAACCCTGATATATTCTCGGAATCACGACAAATCCTAATGACTCAACCTTGGAAGGCGCCACTCAACCCCGCTCCACTTTTTTATTCGATTCTCGTGTCTAAAAACATTTCGTGTACAAGTGTAAAATACCCATAAATCTGTCCAACAATGTTTTGATTTGGTCTCCAACTTCTATTTTAGATTTAGAAAAAAATTTACATACTATTACGTCTGGTCATCGTATGACTATGTTTATCCACAGTAACAAACTTTGGGTAGAGTTTGTTTATGACCCCTCGTCATATGTTTTCCATTGTTTTTAGTAACATGTGGGAGTTTGAAATATTCAGTCGTCATACCTTGTGCGGTAGTGACATCATGATTTGAGTCTAATAATAGGCAAAGCAATGTCAGATATGAAGGTGATGTCAGAGAATGAAGAGTCGCTCGAGCGTTTTAGATATTATGTTGTCTGGAAGTACTGTATTATAGGGTGGCTATGAATATAATTTTTTCCAGATTCAAGTACAATACGTGACAAACATTTATCTTCAATCAATTAAGCTAGAGCCAAAGTTATGTGTTTTAATAAATTACCCATCAGCTACAAAGATGACCAGAAACCGAAGCTGGAAATGAAAACGCGGCACCGTATGGATTCGAACCCACTACCTCTTCGTAGGATCTAACCTTAGTTAGCGCGGTACTGTCACATCTGACTTTCTCCTTTGTCCCTAGGGTGTCGAGACTGTGGAACAATCTACAATAGGAGGCTTTTTCCAGTTCTACTAACATTAGATAGTTCAAAAATCGGATAAACGTAGTTTTTTGGGATCCTCAGAGTAGCCGCGGTTGTCTTGGCATTTAGGCTTCTGCCTGCGCGGCTGCTCAGCTGTAAAGAAAAAATGACATGCATTCTATAACTTCTATTAACTTTGTTGCATACCTTTAAGATTCGATAGAACCTTTAAAATTAATACATAAAGTCTATATAAACATGGGTCGAAAAATGCGTGGCTTCCGAAATACAGGGTGTTTAAATTTACTTTCTAAAATAGTTTGTTTTAAATATTTCGAACAATATTTGATGTATAACAGTGAAAATTGGTATACAAGGGTTTTTTTGGTACGACAAAACGAACCATGGGCATAGTTTTACTGTAGCCGCTAGAGGGCGCTCTCTACTGTACCTGTAGTGTATTAAAATGACCGAAAATTTTTTCTTAATGCAATTTTTTGCTTTTTGAATAAAAAATCTGATTCTTCGCACTTTTCAACATAAAAAAGCTCTCTTGTAAATTTTCGTTATAGTTAGCCGTTTTGAGATATTTCGATTTGTAAGTTTCGATGCATTTTTAATTATTTATGATAAAATAACGTTAAAAGGTCAGTATCTCGATAATTTTTAGTAGTAGGCTGTGCCTGCAAATATTTTTGAAATTGAAAGCAGAATAAGGTTAAACGTCAATTAGTTGACAGTTAGTTTTGTTCTCTGTTGAAACCTGAAACGTTTTTTTGCAATTGTGAATGCACGAGATTTTGTTTCTTTTACCTGTTTTTTTTTTGTAAGTTTTATAAAAATGCCATTTTTATTCTCCAATCAAGAGTTAGCGGATATTCATTTTGTGTATGGCTTTGTAAATGGAAACGCAGCAGAAGCAGCCAGAGAATACGCACGAAGATTTCCAAACAGACGACATCCAACTCGCTCAGTATTTGTAAGAGTGCATCGCCAAATAATTGAAAATGGTTTTGGAAATCTCCAAAGGGATCAAAACATAAATGTTCGTCAACGCATATTTACCCGTATGATTCTGCGTGAGGTTAAATGCTGCGACCTTGGAATTTTTAAAGGCTGAACATGCAAATATGTGAGATGATGTTATGTTAGATTTAAGAAGATTGACCTGGTTCCAGCTTGATGGTTGTCCAGCTCATTATTTGAGAATAGTTAGAAACTGGCTGGACGAAAATTATCCACAAAGATGGATCGGCCGTGGAGGACCAGTCGCCTGGCCTCCACGATCCCCTGACCTAAATCCATTAGATTTCTTTGTGTGGGGATTTCTAAAAGAAAAAGTGTACCAGACTCCCGTAACCACAAGAGATATGCTAATAGACGGAATCAGGAATGCATGTGATGAAATAAGGCGTTCGATGATTCGTAGATGTGAATTGTGTATTGAACAATTGGGTTTAAATTTCGAGCGACTACTTTAGATTTTGTATGTTTGTCCTAACTGTCAATAGCATCCAATATTCATTTAATTTGTTAAAAATAATATTGGAAAATTAAACAAATTAATATTCTGTTTTTTTGTGTTTATTTGGAGTTAGGAATTATTGCTGTGTTTAAAAACACAATCTAAAAAATATTATTTTCCCATAAATAATTAAAAATGCATCGAACCCTAAAAATCGAAATATCTCAGAAACGGCTAACTATATCGAAAACTCACAGGAGAGCTTTTTTATGCATAAAAGGGCGAAGAATCAGTTTTTTTGTTGAAAAAGCAAAAAGTTGCACTAAGAAAAAATTTTCGGTCATTTTGATACACTACAGGTACAGTAGAGGGCGCCCTCTAGCGGCTACAGTAAAACTATGCCCATGGTTCGTTTTGTCGTACTAAAAAACCCTTGTATACCAATTTTCACTATTATACATCAAATATTGTTCGAAATATTTAAAAAAAAACTATTTTAGAAAGTAAATTTAAACACCCTGTATTTCGGAAGCCACACATTTTTCGACCCATGTTTATATAGACTTTATGCATTAATTTTAAAAGTTCTATCGAATCTTAAAGTTATGCAACAATAAACTGAAACACCCTGTATAACTAATTCCTTTTTCAGACCGGACTCTCCTAGACCAATCATTCCCACAAACGTGTCAGAAATCACAAAACAGCTCATCCTGACGTCAGCATCAAGTGTGAATGCCGACACTCTGGCAACCCTTGGGATCTCTTGCGTAATCTCTTGTGCCCCAGAACTGCCAGACTCGCCGCTCACGGATCAGTTGATATATCACAAGGTGGACGTAACAGACTCTGGATGTTCCAGGATATTGCCACACTTCGATGTTGCTGCAGATCTTATAAATAACGTAAGTACGCTTAAAACGTGCTGGGAATGAATTGTGTTCCTCAATACCGTATGTACCTGTCGTGGCCATAACATAGAATTGACCTTTTCATGAAATGATGGACCATTGAAATAGCCGACCAAATTTGAAAATATTAAGTCGTTATCGTTTAGCGATTTGGCCATTCACGATTGATCATATCTTAAAATAGGGTGTTCACAGAATATTTAATAAAAATCCAGAATATGTTACGAACTCGTTTATTGTTCTTTAAGTACGACAAAAATTTGCATTAAAACTGGTAAATTTATGAAATTTAAATAAAATAATTGCATCAAAGCATCCTTAAAATGCACAACGTAAAATTTTTGAACATATCAGATATCACTAATTAAGTTATTACCGCGCGTGGTCACCTTACTCTCCTTTTTTGACGTAAAACCTAAAAATGAAATAAAAATTGCTTTTTTATGTCCTGTTATTGTCACTGGATGATAACCAACTGGCATGGTCCTTATTTTCAATATCATGCACTAATAGATAATAGAGCATTCGTTCCTCAATATTACCACTATTCTATTTCTGGTTACAAAGGATATGCGAAGACGATTATATTGCTGTTATTTTTTTAGTAGTTCCTTTTTGTTGTTAAACCAATCTTTTATCATTTTTTTCCTCTTTTCCACTAATATGATAGCTCAATAGACAAACAATATTTTAACTGGCAGATACGAATTTAACTTCAAATAAATAAATTATAATCTAATGTAAGAGTGGAATACTAACCTGTGAAATACGTTCCATGAGATCCGCCGGGTGGTACCTCTGCGTTCGACAGTCAGAGACCGTCTACCACCTACGGACAATCACAACATCCATAGCCAAGAGAAAAATTTTTCCTAAGGGTTACTGAACATATATGCCAAAAATTATTAAAATCGGATAAGCATACATAGGTGTTTACCTTTTTTTGTCACTCGGTATATAATGATACATTTCATGAAATGGTCAATCTTACGATATAATATTCTCATGTTTGTATGAGTTTTTCGAATTACGTTTGGTCTTCTTTACGTTCTAGAAATATTACCACGTTTTTCTGAAACACCGTGTAGACACAAAAACAATTGTATTCCGATCATTTTCAACTCACTCTCGATTGTTTCTCAGATGTGGCGAAATAGATGTTAGAAACATGTGCACTTGACGTATTTATATATGAACACGTGAGAATTCGAAAAAATCGTATCACAAACCAAAACAGTCCGTTATTCATTGGTCTATTTTTAATCATCGGAATGCCAGGGCGAAAGTATTCGCGGCATTCGCGATGATCGAAAATTTGTTTTCATAGGTCAATGCAACCATGCTGGTCTGCGTGTGTGCTGGTATTCAATTCAACGTTTCTGTCGATATAAATAGGAGGCAGCCGGTACAAAGCGTTATGTTTATGTTGATAATGCTGCTCGTCATCGATTGAGTACCCATTCAAGATGTGTACGTTCAATTTTGTACACCCATCAAAACCGTTTTTACGGTGTCAACTGGAATATTGTCATATCGCTGAAGCCATGATTTGGAACGAACGCTTCTCGCCAATCACGGAACCTGGAACGGGATTAGTTTATCCAAAGAGAGTAAAAATTAGTATTTACGATTTGACATCCAAGTTCAGATAAGACTTGCCTTGGAGTAGCGTTCACATGTTCGTGGTACATCTGGGAAAAGTCGGTCCTTCTAGTAATTCGATTCCATAGTGTAAACCTTCCTTTCCGTAAAAGAAATTAACAAATTCTATTAAGAATTCAAGTCATATAACAAAACAGTTTACAAGTACTGAACCAATGAAAACTTGATCAAGAAGGTATTTTAATCAAAAAAGATGTTAACTAAGTGCAGTTCTAATTCCACAAAAAAATTGTCGGGCGCCAGCAGTCTGTAAGACTACAAAATAATTCAAAATGTTTTCAGAGAATTAAAGTATATAAGAGGCATTTATGAAATATTGAAGTAAGATTTTCAAAGTCAAAATATAGCTTAAGTTCAATCAATGAACTAAAAGTCAAGAGTAAGTTCAATCAAAATTTTCGGGTCATGTGACAACATAAGAACCAGACCAAAAAAATTCTGAAGTTCAATATAGAAAAGAGCAAAATAAATTTCCAAAAAAAACTAAGTGCAACACAAGTGCAACTGTAAATCTAATAGTATTAAAATCATAAAGTGAAAGGAAATATCAAAGCTATATGAGCATGATTTTATAAAGAATTCTCAAAAAATACAAAAGTAAGCAAAATATTAAAAGTTTCATGAGTAATAAATGAGCATATGTAAAATGCAAAATAGCGAAACGAAAATCACAAGATATTTTAATAAATCATGATACATGAGAGTAATGCCGCAAGCAAAAATCGTATGCAAAAGTCTACGATATATGTAGGTGCAAAATTGGAGATATAAAAAAACAATCTAGTGAACAAGGAATAGAAATAAATATGATAGGTAAGAATTCGAATTTTGATTTAAAGCAAAAATATGAGAGAAAGATAACTTTCTAGGGTCACCATAGGTGCACTCCAAAGCCCTAGACAAGAATGTCTATAGTCTATGGAATATTCTCATGTAGATCACTGATATCATCAGCGCACTTCAAAGTCTACACTGAGAATAACCATATCATTGGAAAATGAAAGTTAAGTTCAAATATGAAATATTACAAGATTAGAAAAACTACAGTAATTTACCAGTGTAAAGTATGAAAAAAGAATTACTATACTGAATCTATAAGAATTGGCGATTACTTCAAGTCAAGACAGAAATTGAAAGAAATAGGAAGTCGGAAAAAACTATGAGAGAAGACTATCAAAACAAATGCAATAATGCAAAAGCAAAATCACCAGATATTTCAAAATCTATAGCGAAACATGAAAGCTATGTCGCAACCAAGCTCAAGACTTAGCAATACGCACAAATGTGCACAAAGACTGAAAGCATATATGAAAAATCTCAAGAAGGAATTGACAATTACTTCAAATCAAATTGACTTGATTGAAATGAACTGAGACATAAATTACTATATCAAAAGTGAGTTTTACTTATACGCCAGAGGTTTCAAGAGTTTATCAATACGCACAGATTTGCAACTAGGCGGAAAGCATATATGACAAGTCTCAAGAAGAAAATAAAATGCATATGAAGAAAACACTTTCAATTTAAGAAACTGTAGATAGTACAAGACCCTCAAAGGCATACATCGCAACGAATCTATGTTAACTATCCAGACTACAAAATACTGTCAAAGTTCAAAACCACTCAAAAATATGTGAACAAAATCAAAAGTTTGAACCAAAGATCAATGTAAGTCTGTGCTCTCGAAGAAAGTTATAATGGATTCAAAAAGAGGATACTATCAAAAACTTCAAAAGTAATAGACTTCAAAAATAGAGGTACGTAAGTATGTAAAAGAAATTCAGAAAATATACGCATAAAAACATTATAAAATATTATACGTATTTGTCACATGATTTTGATCGGGAATGCAATTTAAATTTTGAGTACACTCAGAAAAATGAAATATTCAAAAGATGAAGTATACACATTAAATTGGAATCAGAAAAATAATTATGTCTTATAAATTTTGTAAATGGTGGACTGACGTAATAGTTCAAAAGGTTGAAAGAACAACGATGACTAATGTCCAAAGTAAACTTTCACCTGCCTTTTACAGGAAATTAGCTTAACAATTATCAAAGGAAATTCTTATCCTTTCGCATCTGTACTAGGAAATAAATATAGGAAAACCTACTCGCTCCAATGTACAGATCGAAAAACTCGCCCCCTTCGATTGAGCGGAAATATGAGTATTGGACTGATTGTAATATTCAAAAGGTTGAAGGATCAATGATGTTAAATGTCCAAAGTAAACAATCAGCTGCCTCTTACAGCAAATAAGTTTATTCATTATCAAAGGAAATTCTTGTCCGTTCGCCTCTGTACTAGGAAATAAATATAGGAAAACCTACTCGCTCCAATGTACAGATCGAAAAACTCGCCCCCTTCGATTGAGCGGTTTTTTTTGTGTAATTATTATATTTAAAAAAAATAAAGTTAAAAACCTGAATACATCAATAAATGACAAGGATCCAAAACACTATAAAAAACTAACAATACAAACAAAAAGTTTCAATACAAAAACAGGAGCAGCCAAATCTTAAAAAAAGTTATTTTACGAGTATATCTGACATACATTAAAAAAGTACAGAGACGTTCAAGTCCTGTTAATCCAATGAAAAATCAGACACTAATGTTCTAATTGCCCCCAAAGAATATGCCAGATAAAACTATAAAACATTAAAATTATGAAAACTTATGCTCCAAACAAGAGACAAAATTACTACAATAGTTACTGAGGAACGTATACTATTTCAACAACAATTTGAAATTTAATTATCATAAATGAGTATGTGTGTCTTTGTATAGGTAAAAATGATTTAGGAGTCACCCCCCCCCCCCCCCCCATTGAAAAGTAGCAAAAATATAGTCAAGAAAAACATCATTTGTTTCTTGAAAAAAAAAAGAAAGGTAAGTATCAACGCACTATGTCCAAGTGTCAATACTTAAAAAAAGTAAACCGCCAAAATATACGAAAAATTATGAATATCAATTTCATACAATACAGACAAAAGGACAAATCGCAAAATGATTTACTCCAGATAACTCTAGTCAGTAGATTATTGCCATCAGAATGAAAACAAATGATCAAAAGTTCAAGTACAGTCAAAAATTCAAAAAGTAAATACATTTGGGGAAGGCAAAAATAATTTTGAAAGTAAATTTCCTACGTGCCAAACATCATGAAAGCTATATCAGTACACCAGAGATCCAACAATTAGGCTATATATGCATACATGAGAAGTCTCAAGAAATCAAAAAAACTGCACATGAAGAAATACTTTCAAAAACTAAGAGGTTAGTGATCAAAAATGAAAAGCATATAAGAATATGTAAACTATCAACAACAATAGTCACAACCTCAATCAAAAGTTTGATGATATTCGACAAAAATGCTGGGAAACCTAAAGTCCCCAGACTATCAATATTCAACAAAAATTATCAAAATATCATCGATCTCAAAACTACAATGAGAAAAAAGTTATAACTGTCCCCAGCAGTACATAAAAGCTATAGTAGTATGTGAGAAAAAAAATTCTGGCAATGATCTCGCTGACTACTAAACAAGACAATTTAAAAGTTAATAGAGCATAGTACGCCTATGAAATAAACAGGTGGAAAATTTTTAATCTTCTGATAAAAATTTTAAACAATAAGCAAAAAGTAAGGATGATTAAAGAATTAGAAATTTGAGTACCAAAAGCAATTAAAAATAGAAATGCTACCAAAAATTGTAAAGAATTTTGAAAACTATGTTCTGTCTGCCAATCTTCCACTAGCAAACCACTTGTCGACAAAGCCAAACACCAATCGAAGCCTCACGTTGCGGGTGCCAATTTATGTAAACCTTCCTTTCCGCAAAAAGTCCAGAAAAGATGGAATGCAATGAAGATTCCAACTTTTCTGCACCATCACAGAAAGGGGGTTACCATTAGCTTCCGGTAGCTCAGTCGGTGGCATGAAGACATCTACAGGCGTGTAGCTGTGTGTCGACCATGGCATGGCTAGAGGATAGAAGAACAAACAGAACACAAAAATTTAACAGAGTTTATTTAACAAAAAAGCATTTTCATTACATATGAAATTGAAATTTTAAAGAACAAAATAAGTTTTAAATCTTTGGCGCTGCTATAAAACTATACACTTATCTTTCGCTGGTCCATTTTTGACTGGACTGAAGCGAGGATGGCCAGGTGCTTGAAGTGGAGGTCCCAGTTATGAGGGGTGACCTCACATTTAGTGGATTCAAAACTAGATGTAGGCGAAGTTGAACTTAAAGGTGATGGCGCAGCCAAGGCATATGCATGGGTGAAGTGATAGGCCAAGCAATGCAAAGTCAAAGTCAAAGGCAAAAGTCAAAGACAAAGGCAAAGGGAAAGGGAAAGGGGGTGACCCCAATCATTTTGTCCTATTCGGACACACATTCTACAAAATTCTAGCACATGGTGCTATATGACCTCATGCTACAGAGAACAAAATTCTTAGCTCTTGCTAGATCGGCGGC